AGTTCTTATGTATACATAGAACAAAAAAGTTCCTCGCTATTTTGCAAACACGTTACTACGAAAATTATTGAGATATTGATTTAAGAAAATTGACGCGCATGATGACGGTGGGACGAGCTCTGAACACGAAAAAAATATTGTAATAAAAATTACAACAGAATTTTATAATCTTAGACTATACAGAAATTATGATCAAAATTACTATATATCTGTTTAAAAGTGTTATGCACGTTTGACTTTTTGTTGTAAAATTACTATATATATTCACAGAAATATAAATCAAACTTATTATTTTTAAAATAACTTAAATTATTAAGTCAGCATAGTCCAACTGTTCAGAGAAGAAAGAGAGAGAGAGAGAGCATTATAAAATGAAATATAATTCTTAACGTAACTTTTACTCTCTTCTCTCTACAGTATTTTCTCCGTATACGATAATCCAAAGAGATACTTTGGACTTGTTCTCTGATTTCTTGATAATGATGAATATAGACATGCGTTGGTTGTTTACAAAATAGTCTGCCCTAGTTCACACAATGGACGTAGAAATCCTTCAGTCTTTTGCTTCAAAAATCTAAAAATATTACGTAACTTCTGATAAAAGGTGACACGTTTCCCGTGTCACCAAACTCGCAATCGCTAGTTTTATGATACGACTTTTGCTAGAAATTACGTTACAGTTGATAAAACAAAAAACTAAGAGCTCACTGCATTTGTCGTCCAGGACTGAAGGATTTTTTCGCTTATTTTGATGAATTCTGTTTGTACGCGAGCTGACGTACGATCTGCATATCCCTCAGACGAGCTAACTTAGGTGTTCTCGTTTGCCGCTCTCGTAATCAAGCCTGTCGACGTGATCAATCCCCGTGTAGTCCCGAATAAATTACGGTATCCCGTAGTTTCACGTCTCAATCGCAAAATCGTTTTACATCACGTCTCACGAGTCACGCGTGATAGAACGCGAGATCTCGAGAGTTCATCTCGAGACCTCGAATTTTATTCGCACGATCAGGAGGGTTCGCCGCGACGTTCTGCCCGACCTTGCCCTAAGCCGCGATCGCGAGAACGTCCGGATTAAAGGGATTCGAATTGGATGCGGTCGACTCATCCCGGATATTTTTCGCGAGACGCGCCTGGAATCAGCGCGATAGTAAGGCTACGACGTGGCTCGCGTTTCACAGCGGCCAATAGCACGCCATCCGGCATGCACTAGCGTGCAATTGGCGTTCGAAGTGTGTTAGCGGGACATTGACTTCCGAAACGCGCGTCACCGTGCACGAGCGTGGCCGAGAAGCGTGACAAGAAATACTTATGCGATTGACATCGATACCGGTGAAAAAGTGATCGCGATCAAACGCTGATTAGCGGCGAATCGGTTACTCTAGCGCGACGAGTATCACCGGGACTGAGACGCGTTTTCGAAAACAAAAGCCCTATTTTTCACGCGTATTCGTCCTTTTTATTCAAAGCTCCGTTTTTCTTGTGCGTCTCCCGTAAAAACCAGAAAGAGGTATTCAGCATGCAAACACGCGTCACACTGAGAAAATAATATTTGGCACTTATAACTATAATCACATAGAGGAATAATTATTATAAATTATGATGAAGAAAAGTAGGTTTTTTTTTTATTAAATTCTATTATAATGTCATATCAAATCGGTCAAATTTTTTCTGAGTGCAAGTATACGGCCCCACCCAGTCGAAAATGAAACGGTCGCTAGCTTGCTAGAAGCTGATTATGGCTCATTTGGAGCGTTTAGAAGTCCAAGTGAGCCATAATCAACTTCCAGCATGCTACGCGACTGCTTCATTTTCGACCTGGCAGTAATGTTTCGTGCATCTTATCGTTGTTCGAAACACGTCTGACGTATTAACAGCAAAAAAAAATCAATACTTCTTTTTTTCTTGCGTTTAAGCAGGTTTTAAGATATATTCACAACGCACGCGTGAACACGCGCCACTCGTTTTTTACAAGCTATATTAGCATAAATGCGCTGGAAGCCGCAACCTTTCATTAATTATGCATATATGATACTATATTTGCATATATAATTGATCTCCTTATTTATTACAATTTAATTTGCGCGTTGAATATCACACGTAAAAAAAATTAACATACAATATGTGATGATTGCTGCCGAGAATGAGACGTGAAATTAAGATACATATACATATTTGTGTGTATATATATTCATTTTTTTAAAAGTATCTTCCTCGCACATCCTCACGTACTGCACGTTCTCATACATATGTATAAAAAAATATATATTATATATATATATAATATACTGTATATTATATATATAATATATACTTTTTATAAAAAATAATAAATATATATATGTTTTACATATACATGAGAACGTGCACGTGTGCAAGGAAGATACTTTCAAAAGAATAAATTTTATATGTGATGTAACCGAGAGATAATCTTCTTCGAATTTATATTGTAAATATAAATATGTGTCAATATATATCACGACATATATTTTATACAAATGCTTCAAGCGATGAGAAGTGGTGTCAACGTTTCTAGATACAAACGTGACTCACCTTTTAATTAGATACACCGGGACTCGACAAAGTACGTATACGATTATGAACGTTTGGATAACATAAATTTTATAGCTACAAATCGTATTCATTTCTCTTACAAATGTAAATAAGACAGATGTTAATATAAACTGACAATAAAGTGTATTGTAAGATACAAATACGTTTGAATTAATTTTATATTTTCTCTACTGTGGGCATTACATACTAAATATTTTTATCGATAGCGCGTACTATACTCAAGTAAAAATAATAATTGAAGAAACACATAAATACATATACACTAAGAGAAAAAAATATCTAAAAATGGAAAATTTTTTTTGTGAATATTAATAACATATGTACTTAAGTCTAAATTCTCTCTCTTTTTTCTTTCTCTTTTATTTTAATAAAATAAACGATTGTGCTTTAATGAGAGGTTTTCTTAAAGTTCGAAGAAAATGCATATCTTTTATTTGAGAAATATTTTATGTTCATATATAAATAAATATATTACAATGCTCGCACAACGATTAAGAGTATATATTATTTCTTAGATACTTTTTTCTTTCAGTGTATAACTTGATTTTTGCCTCTCTTTACTGACATTAAGATTAATGTCTCCGAAGTAAATTCGAATTATTGATATATGCAATCTGCGTGATGTTTCTCCAATATTAACGCGTCAAAAAATTCATATATGACAGGAGGCGAAACTCATCAGCATAACAAAGACGAAAAGACAGCGAGAAAGCTGTGAAATTATTACAGGTTACGTACCGTCTATGCATTCGAAGATATATTAGGTATCTTTTGCAATAAGAAGTCACGCGTTAGCAGGTTTATCTTTGGTTATAGTTCAGCCTATCGATGATCAAAGCAACGGTATAAAGTGCCATGATGTATGTGGCATCGCTCACGTGTGCACAATTCCGGGCGTGATATATCACCCGCTACTTTTGTTACATGTTTCATTAGGTTTATTAGGTTTATTACAAGTTACGTAACTTCTGTCATATTTCACATCTTATCTTCGACGTGCTATAAAGTATTATTAAATTTATTTTTGAACTGTTGTTAAACGCTGCTGACTCAGTTGCATGCTTCCTTTACAAGTTGCAAATAATAATGGCCAATACGTCGTTAATTTAATAAATTATTTTTCAGAATTGTATCAATGTTAATTGTGTCCAAAAAATACGACAGAAATTATGCAACAACCTAATATCTACTATTTTAGGCTTCCGCGGTGTGAGGGGATTTTGATCGTCTGAGAATGTATTATCTGACAAACAAACGTTTGTTTATGTTATGTCCTCATCTCACAATGAGACGCAAAATTACCGAGATTTTCCGTGCAAATGAATTCTTGTGTATTCCGCTCTGCCTCTACCAATTACGGCCTTGCGTTCGAGCATCAGCCCGAAGCAACTGCGCGAATTGTTATTTATTCGACTTTTTCCGCCGTACAGACCGCGAAACACCGCCGAAGGTGTTTTTTCCTTCCGACCCGAAAAAGCGCGGCGTTCCTTTTCCCGCAACAAAACCGACGAGATCGTTTTGCTATTGTAAATATCGCTTGCTTTTCCCCTTGCGGTTTTCCTTCAAAACGATAACGCGGCGATAACATCGTTTTAGAAGGGCGCGCGTCTGCAATATCGATAGTAATGGAGTTATAATGTCAGGTAATTTCGTACAGATAACGTAACAATAATTAGTCAACACACATACATACATACATACACACACACATGCACACACAAGTGCGCGTTGCGTGCACGTAGAAAAATTACCGCCAAAATAAAGCTCCACTTTCTCTCTTCTCCGCGAAACGTTAAATTTACATTGTCTTGTGAAGCAACGCGAGGAAGGTTAATCATCCGCCCGTGCTGTAATATGATAGACTCGGCAAACAAAAAACTCGTTTATAGCCTTATCTGATACGTTCTCGATAATCTCAAAGTTTGCACTAGCGCACATTCGTACAATGTTGCAGCCATTTATAGCAGACGTTGGAAGAGGGATCGACAGACACGGTGTGTCTCCATCGAACGCCACGTGCATTAGCGGTTGAACGGCCGCTGGCACAAAAATGTTCGATTAAATTGCCGACTCTGCGATCGAGGAAAAAACACAAGTCTATTCTTTTTAACTGAACTGTCTGAACTGGTGCACACCGATGCAATAAGTTAGAGCGAGACAAGTATATTCTGTTTTACTCCAACCTATGGCACCAGTGTGCACCAATTGAAGTAATTCAGCCAAGAAGAAGACCTGTGACTTCTCGCGGGCCCGCGGATAGAGTCTGATGCTCCATGGTGAGCGAAAGAAACAATCGAGAAACTAATCCGCGCTTTTCAAGACGCGTTCGCTCCGGATACCGCGTGGAAGTGTGCCAGTCGCCGTTGCCTGCGATTGAAGAAGCGCAAATACCAGCGATCTATCTCGAGAGCAGAATTTTCGCTTACCTCGGCGACCACATCACGCGTTTATATCTTCAGTTTGCCGAACAAACAAGTTAAGAAAAGCGGTTGTCGATCGGAACGGCGTGGAGAGAGCGCGCACCTATTAGAACTCTCGCAGGAATGCTCTGTTACAGTGTCTGTCGGCGATGATAAGGCGCGATGAATTGACTTCCTTCGTGAAACGAAACGTGCACTGAGCCCATCTGCAACTAACGCAAGTTCCTTATACCCGCCGGTCTGATAGAACGGAACGTTCTCTCCCACTACGAGCTCCGCATCGCGAACTGTACACCTCACCGACGCCCGCGTTACATGACCCGATCCTATCATGCGTGCGTGCGCGCGAGGGCCTCTCTGATTTTACAAAAGCGACGATCAAAAAAAATCGCCGTCGTCAAAATTGCCTCACCGGTCGCGGATCAAACGTCAAGTGATCTATCTCGCGGGCTAGTTTTTGCCCGCCCGCACGTCACGAGGTTGGTGGCCAATGCGTCAAAGGGTCCGCGCGAAATCCTCCACTGCGCGGGGACCCGCCAAGTGGCACACACGCATTTCATTAATTCCGCTGACTAATCATTAATCCTCCTTCTTTCGCCATACACGTCACGAATTTCATCCGAATTTTTATTTGTAACTCGGGAGCGGGGATGTTTAGCAAAACGGCGTCGATGAAAGCGTCGTTTCGTATGCAATTGTGTCCGTGAGCGTTATTGCTTTTGAGAAGAGACATGCAAGAAGAAAACACATGTCTAACATGTCTCTGAATTTTAAGTGATTCATTGTTTTACTAAGTCCAAGTCTCGTCTTGTTGTCGCGTATGTATTGACGATAAAAAGAGAGAGAAAGAGAGAATGAAACCCGAGAGCACGAAAGACGGGGAATTTGAACATGTTCGCTATTACGATTTATTTAGAAGATTCTTCTCACAGACTATATTCTACATGTAATTGTGTAAAACAGTGACTTTGTTCGTTTACGTGAATGAGGAAGAAACATAATCGCTCTGTCGCACATACGCGACGTTTTCTCTAAATTTCTTGTGAAATTTCACTCGAAAAGTAGAAGTGACCACTGAATGACTCAAATTCGAGTGATTTTTCACTTATACAGAGTAGATTTTCGAATAATCGAATGAATATTTTCATTTTAAACTGATCAGTGTGAATCTAATATAGAGGAGAGTTGTCGAAATCGTACAGGTCTCTTAAGCGGACCAGGTAGGTATGAATGAAATGTCAAAAAAATCGATTTTAGTTTTTTTATAATCGGTTAGTACAATCTTTTAAGAACATTTTGGCGCAAGACGGATTTCGGTATTCGCAAAATTGAGTTCAAAAGAGTCAAAAATATATTAGGCCGTACGCGGCCGGCAGAGCGTTTGTTATCAGATAGCGGCGCACTTTCGTGCTGCCGTTGTTATATAAGACGAGTAGAATTTATTTATCGATCTTTCAGAGAAGGAGAAAGATCGCTATTTTATTTGATATGAATGAATATAGCCGGTATCCGATTTCCTATCATTGCTTAGCTTTAATCCTGTTCTCAATCTTTATTTTTCTCAAAATAGCATTTCACGATAGTTTTGTCGCGATAACTCATGAACGACTAAAGATATCAAGTTGCTCTTTTTTTTAATTAAAGATAAAGGCATATTACATAAGCTGAGCTGATTTTTGCATATAAAAATTAATTTTCTAATATCGTTTTAATAACAAATATCTTAAATTTTTCGACTTCTTTAGTTTTTTGTCTACCATTGCTTTAATTTTAACGTTTTTTTTTTAAATTTAGGTTTAGTCTATAGAAGGAGATTCCACAAAATTCTACAAAATAACGCCTTCAGAAAATAATTAAAAAATTCCAACGTTCTCCCGAAATCGCGGCAAAATTGCAAAATTGAGGTTTCTTTAAATTAATAATATTTCATTCAATTATTAATATTTTTTTATTACTAATGCTTATTTTATTTCTAAAAATGCAACGTTCTCCCGAAATCGCGGCAAAATTGCAAAATTGAGGTTTCTTTAAATTAATAATATTTCATTCAATTATTAATATTTTTTTATTACTAATGCTTATTTTATTTCTAAAAATGCAACGTTCTCCCGAAATCGCGGCAAAATTGCAAAATTGAGGTTTCTTTAAATTAATAATATTTCATTCAATTATTAATATTTTTTTATTACTAATGCTTATTTTATTTCTAAAAATGCATTAAATTGCAAGAAACTAACTTTATGTATGTTAATTCACTTGTTCTCAACCGTCGTTCGATATTGCCGAATTTTCAGCCATTGAAATCTACTTTGTCTTGTTAAATTGCGCTTTATCAATCATACTTGATTTTTTAAACATCACACATAGAATGTAAGTATAGTATAATCTGAAAATTTTTTGTTTAAATTTCTCATTTTTACTATTTAGACCATATCGATTATATTCCATATATAATAAAGAAATTAATAACCAATATTACAAGTAATAATCAATATGACTAATAATAAAAATATTGATACCATTTAGAAGACCGGTACGATTTCGGCAACTCTCTCGAACTTTACTGTTCTAGAAACATATCCACTCTAATCAATTGAAACATTTGCTCATATGAAGTCAGAATCCACTCTAAACTCGAGTGAGGCATTCACACATGCGATTTTGAGTGGCAATATTCGTTATCGCTTCGAGTGAAAATACTGTCACTTTCCACACGTTTTTAATGAGATTACACTTCAAGAAATTCAGAGAGTTCACTTCAAGAGGTTTAAAGGAAATTTGGAGCGAACATCGTCAAATAAAATTGAAAATTTTGTGTAAAAATGAGCTTGAAGTGAAAAATCGCGTGAAAACACGTGTGACGTTGGCGAACGTGTTGAAGATCTTGAACCTTGCACACACGAGGAAATGCAAACAATAAAACTTATAACCTAGCCAGACAAATAACAAAAACCGCATATGCATAAGACCGTTTAGACCAATGAGGATTTAACATAGAGTAACCATATTGATTCGCATAACATGTTCACTGGTCGAAACGATCTTGTGCTATGCATATGTATGTGCGGCTATATAAATTCGTTTGGATAGGCTTTTCAAACTGTAAGGAAATTGACCAACCATAGTCAATTATTCTTTAACCGTAAGGAAAACAATCGACTCTATGAATTTGTTTGCAACTTAGATTTTGTTGTGTTTTTGTGTACTCTTTACTTTTTATATGTGTGTTGTTCGTCTCTCGCGTATATGTTGTATCTTTAATTTTGCGCTCAGCTTAACGGGGTAAACCGATACCAGGATACTAACGATGTTAATATGATCGTCGCAGTCTTATTATCAACGCCGGCATGCAACGGTAATTGTAGAAGACGACTTATTTACTCTATCCTTTTTTCACGTTCCATTCGTGAACGACATTGCAATCTCTGCACTGTTGCCAAGCCAGTGATGAATATTATTCAAGAGAAAAAAAAAGAGTACGCAACGTATCGCAATTGCTAAATTATATATTTTAAATAATTACTAAGCTATGACTATTGCTGAATTGCTAAATTATATTATAAGCAAATGTCCCCCGGGATGAAATACGACTTATAAGAAGAACTGAGTGTACATCCACTGTGCGCCAAACGAAATCTTGCTCAGAATTTATCTATTAACATGACCAATTTCATTAAAATCAATTATGAAATATGACGTCCTTGAGTTTTGTGTAAAAAGACGAAAGTCGTGAGAACGATACAACTGCTTATACAGCAATCTTGGTACACAGTAAAGTTTAATTTACGGACGGGATACTATGATTATTTTTTATATAAATTTTTTTTCAACTTTACTCTAGTGAGGCCAAAATAAACCGTCAATAAAGTCTGTCTTGCTAAAGAATATAGTAAATTTCGCTAGAACATGACTAAGTTTTTATTCTATAGCACATTTCAGTTATTAAAATATATGAATTATATTTCATATGAGACGAAAAAGATAGTCAATTACTGCAGAATGTCTGTCTATCTCTCAGTTACAAAAGTCTATAGTAACTTCTGCTATGAAATTCTCTCTGTACACTGAGAGAAAAAATATTAAAAAAGGAATATTTTTATTCAGTGCTTATTAATAATATTTACTTTAGTCTGAATTTTTTTATTTAAATGTAATAATCAATTATATTTTCATTTGAAAGATCAAATTTTTAAGGGAATTTTAAGGAAATATATATTTTCTTATTTAACAAATATTTTATGTCAGCATAAATAAATATGTCATTAGTATAAATATCATATGTCATTAGTATAAATATCATATGTCATTAGTATAAATATCATATGTCATTAGTATAAATATCATGTCATTAGTATAAATATCATATGTCATTAGTATAAATATTATTAGTATCCACTGAATAAATATATTTTACTTCTTAGATATTTTCTCTTTTAGTGTAATTGCGCAATTTACAGCGTAATAACTACGTCGTAAAAAATACAACTGATCGTTAGTATAAGCTGGCAATTGCAATATTTTTCGAATAATTTTATCACCGGCATTTTTTCTCCCTCAACAGTTGGACGGCTGCAATGATGTTCGCGACGTAAAAAGAGGGTAAATAAATTAATAATTATTGTTATCTTTTGTATCGAATGTTAATACATTCGATAACCCGGAATCCGAAGGTCTTAACCGACGCGTTAATTTTAAATATTAAATAATGCGGCAATACAGGAAAGAAATATTAATCTTCTCTCGCCACCGCGTATTGAATGTAAACTCGGTTCAAACTTGGTAAGTAGCTGCGCGTTGTTAATTGCGACTGACACGTGCTTGCATATTCGTCGAATTGTCCAGTTGCAAATTATTCGGTGCATGGTAATGATTTTAAAACGATGATGAAGTCGGAAGACTCACGCTCACGCGACGAGAAGAGCGACTTGGTAAAATTGCGAATCATTTCGCGCTTCGCCAACTCTAGAATAAACCGTACATTTTCGTGCAACACTTATACATGACGGAGCAACAAGACCGACGATGCTACGTTACATTTCACGACACCTCAAATTCGGGAAAATCCAATAGCAGAGAGCGCGAGGAAGATTGGCAACGTCATGAAGAGATATTCTTTTTCTTCCAACAACATGCGCAATTTGCAAACGTCTAGACGTTCGAATTGTCGAGTTCACTTTATCGTAAGTCATACATGTTGTAATAAAAAAACAGAAAATGAAAACAAAGAAAACACAATACAAATAACACGAGGACACCCTCCTCGTTCTTGGTAAACGTGAAAAACATTAAGAAAAATATCTCATTCACAAATACAGAGTAGTCCACGTAAAGCAGAGCGTTTTTCGAGTCGTGTGATTTCTAGTCACGTTACACATTTAGATTTCCAGACGATTGTAACACATTGTGCAAGCGGGGCACCAATCGATTCAATAGCGAGTTATTAATCGGACGGGATGCGGATGGGCGAAGACCGTAACTCTTTACGTAGACTACCTTGTACATTCTAACGTTAAAATCGACGCTATACACGAGGAAAAAGGAGGATTGCGACGAAGAGAGGCGAGGCGAGGCGAGGCGAGGCGAGGCGAGGCGAGGCGGGGCGGGGCAGGGCGAGGTGAGGTGAGGTGAGGCGAGGTGAGGCGAGGCGGTGCGGCAACCACTGCAACGATGCAACCAACGCAGTGCGCTCGAAACTACTGCGAATCGGTTCGTAAATATTGCAAATATCAGATCGATCGGGTGCGATTCGAGCGCACGTTAAAGAGACGACAATCGAGGTTTACCAGGGAGAGATGAAGAAAAGAAAAAAAAGAAACAGAAGAGAGAACGCATGCAAGTCGAGTCGAGTCGCGTTTTCGTCTCTTTCGACTGGGGTAATGGAGGCATACGCGGAAGTGACGCGTCATGTATCGATCAGGTTTCTCCGCGTACTTACCGATGCGAGATTAGAAAAGTAAAAAAGAAAAAAAAGAAGGAAAACCCACTAAACCGTAAAATCGCGAACGACCCGGGAAAGGCAGAGAGGGAGGAGGAGGGTTACAACCCGCAAGAACGGAGCACTCGGTATATCGCGCTGAAAGTCGTACCGCCTTCTCCGTTTTCCGCGCCGCATTACGTCGTCGCGGAGAGAACAAAATCGCGGGGACAGGCAATCTCTCCTGCAGCTCCTCTCCTCCTCCTCCTTCTCCTCCACCTTCTCGGAGCTCTTCGCACTTCGCAGGACGATGCAACGCGGGACACAGGGAGTTTATGCGCCTATGTACGCCTATGTACGTCGCGGAACGTACCTGACGTTTCCTAGCACCGGTACTTTAACACACGGTGTACACAGGTGAGCCCGATGTATCTGGTCGGCGCGGTCGCCAGGAGATCTGTTCCCTTCAACCGCGCTGAATATACACTTGCCGTGTGTACTTGAAACAAAACATATTGGATACGTCAATACATGCACACACGACGTGTCCTGGAGAAACGATAGGTGGTGGAGCAAAAGAGCACGGCGAGAGAAAGAGGCGCGCGCGCGAGGGAGAGGCGCGGCTGAAAACAACAGACCGACTTTACCTTCGGCACCGGGGCGAGAAACGACGGGGAAGTAACGCACGAGGCTACCGCAGGACTTCGTGGAAAGGAGCGAGGGCGAGCGCGAGTCAAAGCAAGGGCGAGGCGCCTCTCCGGTCCCGGCTCACGAGGAGGCGGCTGTTCCACCCGGCTCAGGCGCGCGGCAGTGAGGAGGCGCGCTCGGCGGTCAGCGACCAGCCGGAGCGGCACGGTCGGCACCACCGTAGCCGTCGTAACGAGTGGAAAATCGCACAACCGCGGCCAGAAGCTTGCGCCGGGTGGAGCACCACGTACTGGCTGCCGCGAGCCGTGGCTGTCGGCTGGGACGCGACATCGCGCGCACAGCCTTGGTCGATTTTTAAAACGAAGCACCACCCCGCCGTGCGCTGTACCGTCTGCTGTACCTCCGCCGCCGCCGCCGCCGCCGCTGCTGCTGCCGCCGCCGCTGCCGTCGCCGCCGAAAGCTCCCGGTGGGAAGGGTTGCGTGTCGGCGCGAGGAGGACAGATCAACCGAGCGCGGCGATACACTTTCGGCCGAGCTCGCGAGAGAACGTCGGGATCGCGAAACGGAAATAAAACGACGGAGGAAGGCGCAGAGGGTGCGAAGTGGTCGCATACGGTAATAGGCGCGGCTAGCGGCGGCGGCGGCGGCGGCGGCTAGCGGCGGCGGCAACTCCTATCCGCATCGGCAGCCTCGTATATCGCGAAGAATCAATGTCGCACTCACTTACGCGATCGCGCTGCCTCCTCCTTCCTCAGGCGATGTCCACGCTGATCACCGCCAACGCTGGCAGTATCTGCTTCAACACAGAATCGCCGAATTCTCGCGTCCTCGCCGCCTAGCAGCCAATACCCGTCGCATGCCAACCGAGTCCGCCATCTTCGCTGAACTGCCAAATACCCGCAGGCCGGCCAACCACTGCGCGCGGGAAATCACTGCTTTCTATCTCTCTCTCTTTTTCTTCCCCTCCCTCTCTCTCCCTCTCACCCTCCCTTCCTCCACGTCTTTCTGCCGCTCTAACCATTCGCCCTGCGCGTCGCGTGTCGTTTCGCCCTTTCTGCAATTGCGTGTCTCTCACATTATTGCGATATTCTTTTCTTCCTCTGCCGCCGTCACAGTTTGAATTCTAGTTACTCGCGTACCGGAAAGAGAGAACAAGCGTCGTTGCTCACTTTCGGCTCGTGGTCAGGCATTTTCGGAACGAATGTGTCCCGCTCGGGCACTCGTGTATTATAATTGAGAATAATCAATAAGATTATGTGCATATGCTGTATCTTTCAATCAACAATCGCAACGCGCTAGTGGATCGCAACGCGACAGACGCAACTAGACACGTTGCGTGTCGGAAGTATGTTGCGTGTCTGAAGTATATTCACAAAGCAAAAATCGTCTTTGCCATTATACGCACTTTTGACTTCTTGATCAAAGATTTTCTCGAATTGGACATCTTAATAAAAAGAAGCAAGAGACCTTGGAATAATTGTCGCACTTTCATAGACGCCTTCCGTCAGAGAGGTTAAATCGTCAGAGAAGTAAAAAAGGACATACAAAATAGGACCTCCTATTTGACCACTATTAAATGCGTAATTTTTACGAGTAGCTTATTGAAGCTCACTGAAAAATTGAAGCTTGTCGAAATTAGCTTTGTAGAATTTTGGAAAATGAAGTGAGTCGAACCAACCAAGCGCGAAAGTTATGTTTGTTCTAACACGTTTTCCATCTCTGAATAAATCTTATTTTTGGGCGACAAACTCTCATTTCTTTTCCTATTTTTTAATCGTAAATATAAATATTTGTTCGGTAATTTTCATAAATATTTCTTTACAAATATAGATAATTATTTTAATTATTATCTTTTATGATAGTTTGTCGCCGAATAAATGCTTTTTTCGAAGATAGGAAATGTGTTGCGAACAGACTCCTTCACGCTTTTCGTATCGGCCCGGCTCGGCTTGCCACGCTTACCGAAGCTGCACGAATTTAATTTCGGCAAGCCTAATTTCGGCGAGCTTCAACTAACTATACGGATAAGCTACACGCATATAATAGTGGTCAAATAGTGTGAAATCTCTATATTAACGCGGGATACGCTGCTTGCGGAGACGTTTCCGAAGGGAACGCCGTCGCACTTGCCGAGTTTTCATTATTTTTTCAATGTTATACACCATTAAATTTTTCGCATATATGCTTAGGACACTGTCGGCAGTCTCAGATAGCACAAAGAATTAAAAAACAATTCAGTCGTATGTCGCCAATTCTGAGTTCATCTTTAGATGCAAAAAGAATTTTTTTCGCTGCAGTGAACTCTGAAGAATTCTTTTTGCATATGAAAATATATTCAGAACTGGTGACATACGACTGAATTTTTTTAAAATTCTTTTTGAATTCTCTGTGCTATTTGAGATATCAGCATTTGCTCGTGACTTCAAGGTAATATTACGTGCTTTATAAGTGACAAATTTACTCGAAAATTGTTTGATATACATACAATTTTCTTACACGTTTTGATCTTTTGCGTGCAATTCGCGTCTTTGTAAAGAGAATGTCGCGCACAAATTTCGTGAACTATTTAGTTTGCGGCGACATATTGAGAAAAGTTTTACTTGTCGCACTGGGATAAAGGTTTTACTTGCGCATGCTTCAAGTATCTTTGCGTGCATGATTTGTTGAAATATTTATGTACTTTTTATTCTTTCTACAAAGACATCAAACATTTTCGAGTTTCAACCCGTTCCCATTCGGAGAAATGATTTTGCAAACTCTTGAAAACGATTGAACAAACTCCATCCGTGCTGTTTCACATTTCCAGAGAGGAAATAGGTTTATGTCCACTATTATATTTTTCACGTCGTTATCGGGACTGAATTAATTCGGCAAACATATTCCGATATTAAAGGGTCTATTCTATAATGTTTAATGATGTCGTTATATATCGCTGCGCAATTATTCCATAATATAAAAAATCTGCGCAATAATACAGAACAATGTTGTTAAAAATTATAGAATATATCTCTAAATCATCAAATATTAACGCTTACGCGTTCGACAATACAAATACGTTACCTGAAACATCTCTTTCGATTTTTCCATCGAACTCGTCGTCGATTTCTTAGGTTGATTTCTCACTCGATTAATCGAGATGTGATGCGCTCAATTGTCTCCTGTAACGGAGTCACTGTGGACACGTCCGAGTCTGCCTTTGGAGACATCTAGATGTGCATGTCGGCGGCGTGTTCGTCAGATGATATATTATTATGACGTCTTATGATGTGCTTATATAATGCTGAGATATCTGGATAACATACACAATATATAAACGTTATTTAATTATTTTTGTTTAAATCGTCTCTCATGTTGTCTTATATTTAAGGTCATCTTAAGTTCATTTTCAGATGCTGTACCGATTGCTTTATTGGCTATGGACCATCTGAAAGTGAACTTAAGGCTCCTGACTACTCGCCGACCATCTTGATTGATAACGTCAGAAGTGAAGAAATGTACGCCCAAAAGATTCCTACGAAGTATTTCGAAATAAAAGAATACAAGAAGTGACACTTGCAATCAATTGAGCACACCTCTAAAATACTCCCAACACTTTTTCCTTTAACAATTAATAAACAACTTAAAATTAACGTCACAAAATTATAAGGAAATGCAGGTTAAAAAGAAAGATTACATGTAATATTAATTTTACGGTTACCTATTGATTATTAGAGCAAAAGAAAAGTATTCGGAGTACTTTAGAGGTGTACCTAATCGACTATAATTTTTTATATATTTTTTTATTTCGACATTGTAGACATTTTGGGCGTACATTTCCTCGCTTCTCAATTAACAGTTATCATCAATTAACTTTATCATCAATTAACAGTTTTTAATCTTAAAAAGCAGCAAATCTTAAAAACAAATTTAACACAGATATAGGCGGATATAGGATTTAACGCCGATATTAATAGTTGGATTATCTTATATTTAAGATCGTCTTAAGTTTATCTTCGGATACTTCGTAGCCAATGAAACGATCGGTACAGCACATGAACGTAAATTTAAGAAGACCTTAAATATAAGATCCAACTATGAATACCTATAAAATCGATGTTCATTCACGGCGTATACTTTGATCGCAACAGCGAACAAAACCGGAAATTGATGTTAAAAGCGAGTTGTTTTATGTTATTTTATTTATCAAAAGCCAAAAATGTTGCCTATGGTTTGCAAGGTTAACCTACACTATTTAAGTTTTCTTGTAAAAAAAATTTTTATAGGTATTGTTCCGAGTCTTAAGAAGATTTTTAATATAAAATTCGTCTACGAATGCTGCATTTCAAAAATAAATTATAAGTATCTGTCAGACAGCAACCAAACGAAGGTCGGTAATGTCAGTTATGCAATTTCCTTGAAGTGGATAATCGGCGGGCACTGACTTTACCGACTGGTTATTTAGTAAAAATGCCCGAAGATAATCGGAAGTATATTATCGACTAGTTACGATTATTAAATATCACTGAATTGCAACAAAACGTAACTTTTCTTTTTTCATGTAATTCGCACCGTAAGAGAGGAAGACACAACGGGTATTGTCTCTTTCCTCCACTGCACACGACATCGTATGCGGTCATCATCGAAAGAGTCGCCAGTGCACTGACGACAGATTTGCTTGGCTGTTGGATTTCGTCAGTAACCTCTATAGATAGAACATACATTTGACACGGGTACATAAAATCGACAGCGTACACCTTGACTGCAACATGCGCAACAGCGAATGAAACCGGAAATTGTCACTTTAGTTCTGGTTTACAATAGATACCGTAAGAATTGACCAATCATAGTTAATTTTTCTTGCAATAATCGACTGTGATTGGTCGATTCTTACGATTTACACCTTACGACCTATGGTCTGTTCTTTTCAGTTGCACTGCTGAATTGGTGCAATAAGTTAAAGTGAGACAAGTATATGTTTTCTCATTTTAACTTATTGCATCAGTTCAGCAGTGCAGCTGAAAAGAACAGACTACCAGAGTTTAAGAATGAGCAATTTATTTTGTTTGTGTTCATTTTATCTGTCAAAAGTAAAAAATGCTGCCTGCAAGATTAACCCACACTTGAACTTCCATGTAAAAGAATTTTTGTAGACATTGTTTCGACAAAAATACGAGGAAATAAGACTGCTTGGGATTCAATACCCACACAGCAAAAATGTTCAAAATACATCATAAAGATATCCTAAAACAATCATAGGGATATTTCAACATCCATAGGATATCCCTATGATATATTTGGACTGTTTTGCTGTGTGGGTAGCACTTTGTCATGCTACTTTTCAATATATTAAATTACAACCACACTCAAAATTATATACGATTTTTACTGTTACTTCGCGGTAAGTTTCGTATAGTATCATTTCGTGCCTTCCTCGAGAAATCCAGTAATTAAATGTCTAGTCATGTGGCTCTAACAACACGCAATAACTGGTTATTCAAATCGCAGGATTTTATTCTCTTCCGCGTACAAAACAGCATGGTACGACGGCGGTCATTTTACGCCACTCACTCACTGCATTTCACAGCGAAAGCGCTTTAATTCTTCACTATTAAATGGAAAGTGTTTCCCCGAATGCGACTGAAGTCTATATCGATTATCTGAATATTTGGAGTGAATAACGACATGAGATGCGTGATAGAAATATAAGTTTCGTAAGAATTTGCATGATCACACACATGCTGTGTGTGTGTATGTGTGTAGTGTGTGGTGTGCACAAAATGTACAAGCGTACAAATAAACTTATGTAAAGCTAAAAACATACGATGTATGATTTCATACCTTCCTATATAGCACAAATGTTCACTAGATATTCTAAGAACGTTATAAGAATATTCAAACGTTCTTAGAACATCTATTGAATATTTGTGCTGTTGGGTTCCGATTAGCAAGCTGACATTTAGCAACTCGATGTACTGTATAGATCCTTTAATGCGCGATAGTGATTTACACAGTGAATTTAAATTTGCAAGCATATAATGCATGTATCACGATTGGCGACTGCGTCTGCATCATGTTGCGTCTACGGCACACATCTAGGCCCCGCTTTCCGTTCACGTATACGCGTTCTATTTATCTACAGTTTATGTTACGTATACTGTAAAAAATGCGCGCGTATGCATGAAACGGAACGCAACCATACATAAATTGAAATGAGTGCTAAAGTCCATATCAAATTAAGGATTGAAGACTGAGAGCCAACGCACAAGCACATCCGTAACATGTTACGTTACGTTAAGTACTGACAATGCAATGGCCATATCTGTACGTAAACTTAAACTTAAGTCAACGCACAAAGAAATCCATAAACTTAATACAGATGTTCTTGTGCGGAGGTTTTGAGGATTACGAGATTGGAGATTAGATGTCGACGAATTAATAAACTTCGATCTTGTCTTCGTTCTAATTGGTCAAGTTCCAATCTTCAATCCGCAATTCTCAATTACCAACCCGTAGTCTGATACGTTTGCCTGTGCGGAATGAAAGGAAGCATACTGAATAGCACTCTTTGTCCTTTTGTTGATTCTATACATATCTCATCCTTCCCACTCTCGACCATGTCGCGACCTAAACAAGGATGAGAGAGGAACCAGGGATCTCTCTCTCCCTCTCTCATTCGGTTTGCTTACCGTAGATATTGATTGCGTTTCTATATTCACTGCTGAAAATCTATAGTTCATGTTACATATACTATGGCCCATATTCTGAATCCTCTTTTATCGATAAAAGTGCCTTAAATGTAGCTTCTCAGCCAATTAGATTTCTAAGCCTCTTTTAGAGGCATTTTTATAGGTAAAAGAGGATTCAGAATATGGGCTTATAGATTTATTAGCAATGAATATTAGGACACAGCCATTGGCCGCGTACATTCCAGTTAGTATGGCTACTTTCCGATATTCACTGTCAGTATTAAAAATCTATAAAATACGTAACGTGAACTATAAATTTTCAGTATTGACAGTGAATGTCGAAATGCATCCTATATATCTCAGTCTATGATTGTCTCTTAATCAATCAGAAAGAAGCTATTAAGTGAATTGGTCAAGAGACAATTGTAAGCGCAAATGTGAACGCAGACACAGTCGCTAAACTACAGTCGCTAGTGTGATACATGCATAAGGCATAAAATTGTATATCGTGTAATTCTACTTTAACGCACTCTAATCACTTCTTCGCTTTCTCGCTGAGACGACTCCGTGATCGTGTCAAACGAGCGACAAGCAAAGACATATAAATATCTACAGGCATCAAAGTTCATGTTGAAAATTTTTACAGCGAGGCCATCATTTTCTATATCTTCTAACGATGTGGTAACGTTTAATGAAACGTCGTTGCATATACGTGAACAATAATATGCCGACATTTTCTTAAAAGACAATCATACAAGATTATGTAAATCAATCAAGTAAGAAGTTGCAAAAGAGGTTAGTTGGTTTCAAATATTTTTCTTTTCAATGTTTTTCTTTTTTAATTATAAAAATAATTTAATTTTAAAAACTGCAATTATAAAAACAACCATTTTTTATAGTTTGTTATTTACGTTGCTAATTATTTACGTTGCTAATAAAATACATTTCGAGAGATGTATATTTGGTCAGTTTATTGGCCTTCTACCGGCCGTATATTTGGTCATCTTATTGGCCTTCTACCGGCCGTTTATTTGATTTGATATACACAGTTGCTTATGTTTTATACGTGAATTAACGAGACATGGAATATAGCATCGTTTACGTGGCAATCGACATTATATATATTTTTGGCAGACATTAACGTACCCCCCCTTCCCCGTACCGAAGGTCAGTGTCTCATTAATTTACGTATAAAAGCAACTGTATTAAATCAAATAAATTGCTGATAGAAGGCCAGTAAAACGACCATTTATAATGTTATTTCTTCGAATGTATAATATTATTTAATGATTATTCATTAAATCTGTATTATTTACTAAATCTGTATTATGTTTATCTTACGTCTTCTAAACGTATATAACTACAATATTATATTTCCATGCGTGTGTGCAAACAAAATTTAATTTACTGAGATATTATAACAATGTTTTAATAATAACATTGATTTTGGTGCTATGTAAGGCAAAATAACATGGCTCGGAACATGGTTGCAGGAGAATAATAACTTGCGCAACATGATCGATGCGTAAATTTTGTCGTTACTCAGCACATTGATAAAAAAAATATGCTACTATATACGTAATCATTCGATTGTTTTATCAACTTTTAGCGACGTTTTTTTCATTTCCGTTTATTACGAAAACGTGTTTAACAATGACATTTCATACTGTACAAGAATATTATGGTTGCATTTCAAAACGTTCTTTTTGAGGAAAATTTTACTCAATAACTATAATTCACGTTACATATACTATAGAGTATCGAATAAAATTTCCTCAAAAAGGAACGCAATCTATAAAGGTGAAAAATAAAAATGCGCGCGGATTATGGATATATGAATACGTTTTTTCCTCAATTCCACAATTTTTCCACATTTCTTAATACATTACATGATTTTTCACTACTCCGTGTTTACGTAATGCTAACAGACAAATAAAAAAGTATTGAAAAAGTACTGTAACTTAGTAAGAAATCTTCTGACGTAATGAAAATTTCTGTTTTCACATGTTTCAAGGTGAGAAAATATCTTCAGAACCTGTAGGTTTAGTTTGCCTTGTAGACTTTCGCGTTGAAAACATCATTCCATCTTTATCGCTCATCACACACCAAAGGAAGATAGAATGATGCTTTGAGCAAAGAGTGCAAGACGAACTCTAGTCTCACCTTATAGAGTAAGCGCGTTAACATATGCTGTGCACGTCCGATTTCACACGCATTTTATAAACGAACGGAATACAAATTATTTTTTCTCATATGAATTGCAAACAATATAACTCGCGTTACGAAAATGTCATAGAAAATATATTCCGGATTTCTAAACTCCAGTACGTCGTTATTTTTTTGTGTCGCTAAGATTGACGTTTGACTTTCGCTTGAAGAGATTGTACGTAGTGGCGCGAAAGAGGACACAAGGGAGGGCGGTTGTGTTTATTCGCCTGAGCGTAGAGAGGAGCATCGCAGCGCTCACAGTCGCATGACAACCGACTTCCGCGTCGCTTGCCTTCGCGTGCCAGGTGTCCTAAGCACTTTCCTCCAGTTCCCAGGTTAATACTTTGTATCCTCGAAGTTTGCATATCCCACACATGTGAGGAACAGAGAAATCAAATTTGTCCATTTTCAAAGAATTGTCGTCATCGAACGCAGAGATATACAGGTGACTGTTGTACCCGGAAAAATCGGTAAGTAAGAAAATGACTAAAGGCTATATATTGTCAATATGTTTATATAACGGTTTTGTACAATCTCCGTTGAAAGTTTCGCCGGGGTCAGTGGACAAGTGTGAAAGCAGTGAAGCGAATCGGCCAATCGAGTTTGAGAATATACTGTGCCTTGGTTCTTGACTGTGATTAGTCGATTGATTTATATTTTCGGGAAGTCTCAAGCTAGTAAAATTCACAATTCAACTGCAAAGTCACTGCTTTTAATAGGTTTGTTTGCGTTACTTACACTTTTAACACTTTTGCACTTAATGCCCGTTACACACCGAATGCGAATGAAAGAAATTCAATAAAAGCTTTTCTTTCTAGGGTCAGTTGTTCCAACTTTTTCGTAAATTAACCGATAATTAAATCATATATCTGTTTTTGTCTAAATTGAAAGAAAAACAAATACAGACGTATGATTCAACTATCTGATAAGTTAACTTATCAAGTTAGAACAACCAGTTCCTAAAAATGCGAACGTTCCAGGAATGCGTTCCAAAACTCGTCGAGTAAAGCATTTAATTGACCAATCAGAACAAAGACAACTAAGATTTCTTTATCATGATTGGTTAATTGAATATATTCTATCCGCCAAGTAGGATTTCGGAATGCGACCCTGTATGCAACAGGGCTGCGTAAGTATAAAAGTGTCAAAAGTGAGAGCAACGTGAACAAACCTAATTTTAACGTGTTCTTTGAACAAATTCCATTTCTGCGCGTTGAATACTCATAAAATATATAAGTTAAGGGAATTGTGACTGTGCGTTATTTTTGTAATATTTCGTTTGTATAAGATAATCGTTGTACTCTAGTGTTTGTGGCTGAATTGCGTATTTTAATTTTCTGTGACAAGACGATACAACAGCATTTAGAATCTGTTAACACTAAGCAAACGAAACTACAACGATGGTATCACACGTAACGGATTTCTACAATGCAAAAAATATATTCATTACTGGTGGCACCGGTTTTGTCGGTGTCTGCTTGATAGAGAAACTTCTAAGATGTTGTCCAGATATAAAAAACATTTATCTGCTAATACGCCCAAAAAAAGAGAAACGTATTGCAGAAAGGTTGACAGAGTTAACACAGAACTCGGTGAGTGGTCAATTAAGACCGTGCTATATTATATGTAAACTATATGGATACATATTGTAATTTGTTTATGTTGTCAGTACAACATACATGTTATAATTTTTCCTACATAGGTTTTCGATAAGCTACGAGAGCACCAGCAAACTGACCTATTCAAGAAATTAATCGCAATTCCTGGAGATGTCGGTGAAGAAAATTTGGGTTTAGCTCCAGAAGACAGAGTAATTTTAATTAACACAGTGCAAGTTGTTTTTCATTCAGCAGCTACACTTGATTTTGATATTGATTTGAAGACTGCAACAAATATTAACTTATTGGGAACTCGGAGAATCATCCAACTCTGCAAAGAAATTCAAGATCTTAAGGTATATAAACTATATTATTCTTTATTATTTTATTCTTTAATTAAGAAAAGTAGATTATGCAAAGCAACAAGATTCTTGATATACAAAAATATAAAGAATATTCTAATGCATGTAAAGAAGCATTTATTGATGACAGAAAAACTTTATATTATCGATTTAATGATCATATTTATGATATATATGGATTTTTTTTGCGTATTAGCAAAAAAATCTTATTGTTGGTTTATTTCTTTCTCAGGATCTTATTAGCTTATTTTTTCTTGGTTTAAACATTAATGTAAATGTTGCACTTATATATTAATATTTTATATAGATATTTTCAGAAATTTATATGACAATATCTAAACAAGATTTATTTATGCAACATATGCTTTGTAGGTAATTCTATTTCTAACATTTGCATTTTTTATATATTATTTAGGCATTGGTGCACATTTCTAGTGCATACGTTAATTCTCAGCTACAAAATGTTGATGAAATACTATATCCCTCACCAGCTGATGCAAATGAAATTGTGAAATTGACCAATGAATTAGATATTGCTGTCTTAAAAGCAAGAACGTCGGAGATACTGAAAGGTCATGCAAATTCTTATACATTCACCAAACATTTGGCTGAACATGAAATAGCAAATGGAGGGTTACCAGCAGCTATTGTACGTCCTTCAATGAGTGAGTGAACATTTATCCAATAAATGCATATGGTATTACTGTACTATAGCTACATTTACTATTACTACATTTAATTTTGTATATCTAGTAACAGCAGCATGGAACGAGCCTGTTCCAGGATGGACAATATCGAAAAATGGACCACAAGGTTTCTTAATGGGTGCCAGCAAGGGTGTTATAAGAAGATTGCCAGTTGCAGAACATCTTATTTATGATTACATTCCAGTAGATATAGTGATAAACAGTCTTATCGTTGCAGCTTATTCTGTCGATCATGATAGGTAATTTTAACATTAGAAGAACCAAGATAGCCAATTTGGCTCCTTACAAAATTCAAACACCTATAACTTTTTTCAATTTCTCTTTCATGTGATAACCTCTTGTGACTTTTCATTATATTCTTAATTTTGGTAAAAAAAAATTGAATTATGTAAGATGATGGTGGAATTTTTATTTGTTTATCTAGAAGGACCGTTAGAACCAATTTGGTTCCCTTATTTTTGATATTGCATTCACATGTAATATATAATTTTTTTTAAGTAAACAAATAGATACATATGTATAAAAATATTTATTTATTTAAAGTCAAAACTTGTTAATAAAATCAAGAAACATATGTAAATACAATATCAGAAATAAGAGAGCCAAATTGGCTCCTTCTAGGTAGACAATTAAATAAAAATTCAACACATCATCTTATGTAATTAAATTCTTTTATTACCAAAATTAAAAATATGATGAAAAGTCACAAGAGATTATCACATGACAGAGAAATTGAAGAAAGTTATAGCTATTTGAATTTTGTGAGGAGCCAAATTAGCTAACTTGGTCCTTTTAGTGTTAAAGGAGTACTTTTTTTTTGTAAATTGTAGGAAAGATATACGCTTACTTTTAATTCAATATCCAAGATTTACTAAAATAATTTATAATTTCAGCGATAAAGAATTAAAGATATATCACTGCACATCAAGTACATGTAACCCTTTCCGATGGAACCAGGTGCAGGACGAGGTCAACATGTTTTTGCACAAATATCCGCTAAAGAGTGCCGTGTGGTATCCGCATTTAAAATTTTTACCGTCACTTTTATTATTTAGAATCTCGGCTATTTTCTTTCATTTTATACCGGCGTATATCTTGGATGCTGTCACACTATTTTGCGGAGGCCGTCCAATGTAAGTTTTGATAGTTAAAATATTAAAACAAATTTTTGTTGATAAATTTTAATATCCTCTCTATTTTTTCAGTTTAGTCCGCTTGCATAATAATGTTAATAACTCGTTAGTGCGCCTTGAAACATTTATTTTCAATGAATGGAAATTTAATAATCCACGTATGCTACAATTGAACGAATCGTTATCACCGCATGACAAGGATTTGTTTACCTTGGACATCAGGACATTGGTTTGGGTAGATTATTTCTGCAATTTAACACAAGGAGTAAGAATGTATCTCAATAAGGAATCCCTGAAGTCTTTGCCGAAAGCACGTTCCAAAGACAAAAGGTAAGTATATTTTTCTGTATATACTTCTTAATCGATTCGTAAATATTAAATATTATTGATATAACGTTAGAGTAATTGTGTTTGTATTTGCAGGTTGATGTTTACTCATCTAGGCTTACAAACTATGTTGCTGGCCTTGATTTGGTGGCTGTTTAAAATCTTCTTCGATACAACATGGACCAAAACTGGTTTAGTTGTACCGCTAACTTATCTGATTTTTGATCAATTATAAGAGTAAGGCGATATTTAAATATACATTAAATATAAATATTAGAGGTGTGCGAATCATGGTTTTGTGCAACTGTGAATCAAATCTATGAAAATATATTTTAAAATTAAATTTTCTTAGTTCAGAAACGAATTGAATTTGAATTAAACATTTCCGGGTTTATTACATGCTGACTTGAACGTAACAAATTGTATATATTTTTTCTCAATAACATTAGAAGTCTATTTTTAAAATTAAGTCGAGAAGATAAATCATTGCATAACTTTATCCGAGAAAATGTCTCACCAATAACAAGGACAATGAACTAATCTGCAATTCTAAGCAGAATCGTAAGTCTCGTAACTTGTTCTCGTAAAATTCATAAGAATTTATGAGTAGATATTGTATGCAATATCATATATCGTACAATCATTTGTAAATATCGTAAATTACATGAAATCGTAGATATTTATGAGTAATTGTATAACATAATATTGTATAGAATTGTAAATCTACTCATAAGTTCTTACTTATTTTGCCAGAACAAGTTACGAGACTTATGATTCTGCTTACAATTGCAGCATAAATGATAGAAAATTTATAAGTGATGTTAAATTTTGAATATTCAAGATTTATAATTGATACATACATACATGCATACATACATACATACATACATACATACATACATATATATATATATATATGTGTGTGTGTTTGTGTTTGTGTGTATGTGTGTGTATATATATATATATATATATATATATATATATATATATATATATATATATGTATATATATGTATATGTAGTAGTTTTCCGAAAAGACTTGTGATAGTAAATTAATATCTCTATTTGGTGCATGTGTCACTAGAAAATGTTGAGCTATATGATAAACGTATATTAAAAAGACTTTCAATGAAAAAAATTAAATCTTATAAAATAAGTAATAACAATAATTAATAATAATAATTCTTATAATAAGTAACTTATTTATACCCAATTTCGATTATTTATACACAACGTCGATTAAGTTTTAATATGAGTTTAAAATGTCTTTAGACAAAGACATCAATTAAGATTAAGATTTAATCGACGTTTAAAGACATTAGTAAAAATCTGCGATTTAATAAGTAATATAATTGTAATATAAGTAAACATGTTGGAAAAGTATAAACCGCTAAATTTTGTTTAGCAACAAATTTTATGAACAATTGCAAAGCTGCTAGAAGTGCAGAGCGCAAAACGCTTTTCCTGCTGAATGTAATCTATCTCTATGCAACACACAGACGCATGTACGAGAATACGAATACGCCGAGAACAAATTTGCCGGACAAGAAATCAATGAGGTAACTCAAAGAAATGATTAATTTGAAATCGAACCTACTGTGATTCGAAATTGTCGAATTATTCAAATTTAAACATCTTTGATTAGAAAAAAATTCGAATCGGATCCGCAAAGATTCGATTCAAATTCTAATGATTCGCATACTTCTGATAAATATAAATATATAAATATATAAATATATAAATATATAAATATATATATATATATATATACACATACATATATATATATATATAAAACACAGTTGTGCTATTGGTGCTACATACATATGTGACGCATTAAATTCTCTTGATAGAATAACGTCACTTATACGTGATATATCAATTATTCTTTGATCAATTATTCTTTGAAATATTGTTATTGAAATATTTTTTTAAATATTTCTTTGAGTTTGGTATATTATTTGTAAAACAAGGATACGAAATATGTTACATAAAACTACTTACAGAAATATGCTCTGTGGAGAGATCTTTTTAAAATTAAACATAATAAATGTGTTAAAGCACATTCCTGGTACTAATCGTACATTAAATGTGTAAGCATCACATAAATCTTTCCTTAAATGTCTTAGTTTGCTCTTAGTTGTGTGCTGATAATTTACAATTATATATATATATATATATATATATATATATATATATTTACACGTGTTTATTAAATATAATATATAAGCGATTGATTGATAAAATATATCTGATGTTGAAAAGAAGTGTTGAGGACTTACAGGGTTGAATGGTATTTGCTAAAGCAGATAAAACGTGCTTATCAAATATATATAGGTAGGAAGATTAACATAATCAAAATTACAAGCGATTTGGTAACACTAATGATTGTTTCTGTTCTACAAGCATAGAAATAAAACATTATATTGCTATATTTTTATTTTGATATTTATCAGGGGGCATTTATATGTATTTTTCTTGCTTCTATACGTATTCTTGTCTCAGACAATTGCAAACACTACAAAATATCTGTTTCTACATAAATCACTAAACAAATATTTCGGATCTTCTGATATAATACTTCTGTATTATTAATTGATCTATTTCGTCTGAAACCACTATTTTCCTATAATATTTTCCGCCAAAAAAGTAAGTTTATTAGCGCGCGCCAAGGTTTTTTCTAAAACTTTACAAACTATATTAAATGTGCGGTAATTCATACATCTAGTCTTATTCCTTTTTTCTTTTTATAGATTGAGTAGACAATATTGATTATTCATTTTTTTGGCATCTTCCATAAATTTTTTTTTACCAAGTCACAATACTTCAGTTTTTCCCGTTCCTGCTTCTATCACTTAATAGTCATTTGATAATCACTTAATAGTCATTTGATAAAATCACTTAATAGTCATTTGATAATCACATTGATTTGCACTTGGTGTTGAAGTATACTTCATTGCTCTTAGTCCTTTTTTTATTTCCTCGTTGGTTACGATAGTTACTTCTCTCCTTCTTTCTCTATTTTTTTTCTCTTTATTCAGTAACAGCTCATTCATTGAGAAACATTTTATTTGCCTCTCCTTTTCTTTTTTTGATGAAGTATTTTTTGTTTCGTCTAGCACTTCTCTGCAGGATATGTTCACTAGTCTTTTTCTTCGTTTTATGTAGTATATAAAACGGAGCTTATATAAAGAATGATTAGAGCTCTACAAGAAATTTACAATCTTCAAGTATCTATTTGCATGTTTTTCTATATAGACTCGCTGTGTGACTAACAGCATTTCAATTGTGTAATAAAGCCATACATAAATTCTATTTCCTGTTTACAATAGCAAACTGACATTATTAATGGAGCATTATGTATTATTCAAATGACAACCACTAAAACACAAGTAACTTATGTTTGCCTACGAAGTAATGATAATAAGAAAATTCTGCATTATAAAATATATATGTAAATGAAAGAAAAACATATGGACTCCTTTACATATGGAGGTAAAAATATGGTAATGCAATCTTTTTAATTTCATAGCGTGTGCGACAAACAGAAAGAAGCGAACCTATTACATTCCCAAAACTGAAAATCGCTTGTAGTTTTGACAGTGTCAATTTTTTTCAATCTACGTTCATTACAGATTTTATATCTAATTTAATAAGTAGTATATTAAAGTAAACGAATATCTCTCACACTTACGTAAACTGAGTAGTGAATTTTAATATAATATTTCATGGAATTTTCCTTTTATTTTAAAGATCATTTAACATTTCTTCTTTTTTTCTTTTATAATGATTTAGCGGAGTTGAAAAAGTTACTTTTGAAAAGTAACGCATTATCATTACTCGTTACCATTATCGTTACTCATAAAATAATGGATTGTTACAATTTTTATTTTTTTCCCAAGTTTCAAAACATTTTTTTCTTTTTAAGATTTATTTTCCAGCGAAAAATTACTCGTTGATCGACGTCAAACGATGTCGAATCGATATCGATTTGACGGTTCACACGCAATTCGATGCCGAAACTTCGTAAAATCGACATCGTTTCGATATCGATCGATGAGTAATTTTTCGCTGAATCTATCTACTCTCGAATTGTACCTGTAATTAACCGCGCTGTAATGAATCGTTTAAGCAAAAGTTTGCGAACACATGACGATGTAGTTTTTTATGTACGATTGGTATAGACTGGCAACATTTATTACAATAACGCAACTTTTCTGCAAAAACAGGAAATTATCTGTCTGCATAAATCCAACAATTTAATAAGCTATAATATTGAGTCACATTTTTTTTTTACCTAATTTTTATCTCACAAATTTTTTATCGTGCTACTGATGAACCATTAACATTTATCCTTTCGAATGCTATGGACGTGTATATATACAGGGTATCCTAAACTTTCCTCCGTAATTTTTATGGGAACATAGAACAGATTGAGGTGAACATAAAAATACCACACCATTTTACGATATTCACATTAAATCTTGAGCGACATTAATTGAAGAAGTTTGGGGATGTGTGCTGTTGTGTGCTTGTTCGTTAGGTCAAATTGAACAAAAAAGCCCTTTTCATTTATTTGATCAATTAACCACGTAGATTTTTAGTTATTAATGAAAGAAAATTGTTACATGATTGTTACGCAATAATATATAAATCTTCTTTAATAAATATCTAAAAATCTATGTGATCATTTGCAAAATGGTAGACTTTCTTCAGTTTGACCTAACTATAAACATACAACAGCAAACGGCGCCACTGCAGCTCATCTACCGTATCGCGCGTAATCACTCACTAATATTCTTTAATTAATATCTTGATTATTATTATCGATATCTTAAAAAAAACATATAGTACTTTATATATTTTATATTATATTTTATATTTATATTTATTGATTTGGATAATTTAATTCAAATTTATTATCCATTATTTTAATAGATAATAAAAAGCGCTACTTACATATTTTGTTTTATAATATTTAATACAGTTAGCATGAATGTCCAAACTTTTTAATACAACATTTTGTAGATTTTAACATTATGTTTTACAACAAATTATTTTTTCCTACTTTCTTGTATATCTTTGGCAAATAGTTTTGTTCATCCACATAGATAACTTCTCATTATATGTTTTTTCAGATATATATAAAGTATTGTACTTTATATTTTAGACGTATAATACTTTTATGTTCACCTCAATTTGTTCTACGTTCCTACAAAAATTGTGGAGGAGAGAGTCTGGGACACCCTATATATGTTCGACAAATGTGATCGGTGTGGCCTACAGACCTATGTATGCGTCTGATAAATGTCTTCATCTTATACTCTCGATACAAGCAACAGTTGCGACAGAAACTTATATTTTACGTATCCTAATGGCGATAATAAACAAGGCTTTATTTATCTCGGTTTGTTGCTTTCAATTTTTCAAGAAGTTATTTCTTTCAGTGACTAACTTACAACGATGCAAAGTATTACATTCTCAGTGTCGACATGTGAATGTCTAAAATGACAAAACATATAATGCAATGTTCTGTAATGTTAATTATATAAGGCAAAAGGAGTGTATCAATCGTAAGGGAAAAATTACGGTATTTGGGCTCAATTCAGCTTCACACGTATTCCCTTCGTTTGTGTACATCTTATAATACATGAATACTTTACAATATGTTAACGAAGTAAATCTTATCAGAAGTGCTAGTTTGTTGTAAACGTCGTAGTCCCAACACGAACTAATATAAAGTCGAATGTACTCGTCGAATGTATTCGTAGAGGACTCGTCGAAAGTATTCGTAGAGGACTCGTCGAAACTACTTGGAAACATTTACCTTACCGCTAATTAGACCTTCCTCTCGTAGAATGCTCTTCCATCTACTCATACGTCGATGATTCTCAGCCAAATACTTAATTCTAAAATACTGCGCATTCAAAGAATTAATACAACTTGATGCGACTTCGAGAACAACGCGATCCAACATCAATTGCAGATTCTTGTCAGCTATTGTTCCGAGTTAGATGTATCATTGCATAATATTAATTTTTCCTGAAGCTTGCGCTTTTGATGGTAACCGTGTTGTATGTGTACCAAACAGAACGATAATTGTTTTCTTCGTCCAATTAAGACTTCCGATAGTAAATAAAGCTTTGGATCTCAGTCAAGTTCTGTAAGTTATTTGCGTCTGAACTGAAACATTCCTCTCGAATAAACCTGCAGGAAGAACCTTGCAGGATCTAACTTTATAATATGACGTGGGAGCTGCAAGGTCGTAAAATCGCCGGGAAGTCCCGAGTTGGTGAAACTTTGTTCTTTTTACGTAGACACCAAGTAGCGACGTCCTGAATCCGGATTCCGACTCAAATCCAGCTCACGTTCGTTTTATATGTACGTAATATCGTTTGTTTTTTAAAGGGATTCAATCTTGTATGTGTATATATATTATATATACAGGGTGTCTCGAACCTCCATGATGACCCTTGGTGAGAACATAGAACGGATTGAGGTGAGCAAGAAAGTCCTGTGCATTTTGCGATATTCGCAATAGTTTTTGAGAAATTAATTATTTTGTCTCAACAAATCAGCGTACAGAAAGCGGCAGCGGAAAGAAAGATATCTTTGGCCAACGTGCGACCGTGACACTTGCGAATCGCATCTCGCCGCGTCCCTCCCCTCGTAGCTACGAGCATAGCGAGACGTGATACACTGACACATATGCATAACATATCCGTGTGTCGAATCGACGCCGAATCGAAGCGTGTCGCCGCTTCGGCTGCATACATGCATGTAAAGGTGAGCGGCATGTAACACAAAATCGTGTGCCTAAAGATAATTATCTTTCGTTTTCTCGACGTAGTCTCCACTCTCGTGGTAGAAAAGTGACAGCGCGCGATTACATTTAGAAGATTATTTTATAAGACAGCTCACATTAAAACCGTAATGTGTTCCTGTGATTTAAAAAAAATAGAAAGAAAGCAATAGAAACTGAAAGGATTTGCAGAGAATCTGTTTTCTATCGAAATTGTTTCTCTATCGTATCCTTTGCATGTATCCGCAAGAAATGAAATCGTTTTTCTATAGTGCTCTTTAAGAGCAACGTATTACGTAAAACACATATTATGTAAAATATCCATTCTTGACGTAATTACTTGACAATAGATTATGATGCATGATCTTCTATGGTAAATAATATACATATAATTATGTATAATAGAAGGCGTGCATCATAATTTGTCGTCAAGTGGACGTTAAGAATGGATGTTTTTCTATCGTGCAAGATCATTAAATGCAAGGCCGAAGACATCTTTCCGCTGCCGCTACCTCTACCATTTTGCAAATAATAACATTTTTAGATATTAATCAAAGAAAATTGTTACATGATTATGTACCATAATGCACAAATTTTCTTTAATTATAATTCTTTAATTATAATTATAATTAATTATAATTCTTTAATTATAATATCTAAAAATTTATTGTTATTTGCAAAATGGTAGAGGACTTTTTTGTTCAATTTGATCTAAAGTATAAGTACATGACGGCAATCGTCGCTATTATAACTCACTTACCATATTCTGTATGATTATTTACAAGTTTTCTACAATTAATATCTCGATAATTATTACGAATTTCGCAAAACGATATAGCGGTATAGGACTTTTATGTTCACATCAACCCATTCTACGTTCCCACAAAATTGCCGGAGAAGAGTGTGAGACACCTTGTATATATACATACATATATATTTAAACACAATGCTAAAGTGAGAGGGAGAAAAGACATACGTAATGAAGTGATTGTATTTTAAACTTGCTATCTATTAAGTTGATTATTGTCAAGAAAAGACCGTTTGAATATTTAACTGCTAATATTTTGACATCTGATCTATGGAAACCTAATCTCGAAAACCTTTCCGTACATGTAACAATTTTTGGACAATTGAATTGAAGCACTCGGCCTGTTACAGATCTTAGATGTAATATTTACGTCGACACTTGAAATATTGAAGCTAACAAGTTAAGTTTAGCTAACGAGCTGAATTAATTAAATTAACGCTCTTATCAACTTATGTCTTTCACTTTTGCAGCTTTACTAACGTCGATTTAACCTTAACCTGAGTTTAAAATATTTTCAGAAGACTCAAACTCGAGTTGAGATTTAGTCGATTTTTAAGGACGTCGATGGAACCGGTCTTCAGGCCACCAAAAAAATCCTAATCTGATATCTCCAAACTCGCCAAACGTGAAACGAACTAACGATGTAAACTTATACAACTGTATTTATTCTTACACAATAATAAATTTTTGTCGTCACAGAGATGAAATTTTGCGCCAGTGATTTTGCGACTTGATCTCGCTAGCATGATGGAGAAGTATAACAGGGGAAAGAGAGGGAATGTGAGACCCTGAGAATCTGCAATCTCCATCGCACACAAGCCTCCGCAGACTGCGCCGCGTGGGACAAAGACGAAGTCAACGAGGAATGACCGTGTGGCGGTCAGCCGTGTAAAAGGGATAAAGTCGGAGTCGTCGGCGTATTTGCGTTCAGTCCGTGCTATCGATTGAAACGATATGGAACCATAGAAGAAAATTGTCACTTCTCCACACGTAACGTCGAGCTGCTCCAGTAATTTCAATCATTCGGGCGCGAGTAGAGCACTAACTCCGATAGTCTGGCGGGATAGTGGTTGTGCGAGCGCGCTATTGGAACGTTTGGATTGTAGTCCGCGTATTTGTTTCGCTGCATTTTCCGCTGTGCGATTCCGCTGGGTTTTCAGATATTAAGCCGTCACTCATAAGTAACAATTTCATTTCGAGCAGTATAGACAAAAAGCAACGTTCAGTGCGCGCTATCTGGTGACTCGACACTTCGTGTGACAACAATCTCACGTCGCGATAATTGACTCCGCGGGCGAGAACAAGTGTAGAGCTCTACTTTCGCGCGCGCGCGCCTGCTCCTCGCCGAAACCACAAAACCAAGCGCTTCGCTCGACGGTTTTTCGATCTTCTCGAAAATGGCCTCCGAATTGCCATCGATAGTCGCTTGGTTCTCCAAGAAAAACGTCCTCGTCACCGGAGGCACCGGATTCATGGGGAAAGTTCTAATCTCGAAATTGCTACTGAGCTGCCCCGACATAGGCAATATATTTCTGATAATACGGAAGAAGAAGGGCGTTGATTCGCAAATGAGACTGCATCTAATGCTGCAGGTACTGTTTCAGTTAAGTTCCCTTATTATATCACCGGGGAGAAGAGAGTGTCGAGAGTTGCTTGTTTTTTTTTTTTTCGTGCATTAACACACGAACTAACGATCGCTCTGTCAGATATGACGAGTTCCGACAGAAAGGAATTTTTGTTTGATGAACACACGAATTAGCTTATGTAAGTGGATATCAATATACCGCTGTGGATATCAATATATCGCTGTGGAATGTAAAAAAATCGCAAACGCGCAATTCGCCTATATCGGTATGCGTCGAGTAATAAAAATAATAGAACGGCATTACGATCTCCTTTGAATGCGCTATCGTTAAAATAACTTGAGCCGACGATGAAGCAACGTGTGGCATGCAACATGCCTTCCTTGACATCTTGCATCGTATGGTGATTATTTTCTCGAAAGTTGAAATTTATCATTATTTTAATAATTTGATCTCTCTCGCTCTCCCTCTTCTCCTCCCAACCCCCTTTTCTCTCTCTCTCTCTCTCTCTCTCTCTCTCTCTCTCTCTCTCTCTGTTTGTCTTTCTCTCCGTGCATTGTAACTTTCGTAACACGCGGAAAAAAAGAATTGGTACGTACGTTAATATTCATTGATTGCGACACGCGCGAGTAACGTTAGTACCTCTCGTGTGGTATCGTTCGGTTCATTAAAGTTTATAGAAACTGCATTCAAGCAACGCACCATATGGGCTGTTGCGACACACGATACCTTCGGTGAAACCGCTCGTCGAAGATTTCTTAAAAAGGACGATTGGACTAGCGATTCCTGACTTCTAGCAAACGACGAATCCGTACGTGTGGCAATCGACGGACATTATCTTGTGCACCAGCCTTACCATCGCGGGAGAAGAGGAGCGCATATAAATCTTTCTCAAGTTACACACGTACCTTTTCTTTCCTGTTTTCTTTATTGTTGAGCTTGCGTAGAATGTGGGCGCACAGAGCGTCGTTGTGCGAACCGGATTCTGATGGAAGTTACGATCGCGCGAACGGGACGTATTACACATATGCTATATATATGTAAATTACACTTTCCTCCACGACGGCCAAGCGAATCACCTTGGCACCGATTATGCCGTCAGAAATTTTCGATTTATTACATCATTATTTCGTTCATGAACTCTCCGTTCTGCCGAGGAAATTTCGAAAGAAGCTCACTCATTCTCGATTCATATATGCATACGGGATTGCGACGGCTATTTTTGTCAATTCGTTTGAACTCCGCGAGATTTCGAGTATTCGCCGACTCGAAAATCGGTCGCACGTCGCGTGCGGCGAAATTAGAGAAAATGACAGTATTTGCCGACATGATTGATCAGTTCCGCTAATCGAGCTAATAAGACAAAAACATACTAAACGGTTCTAAATGAAACTGAAGTGAAAGCGCAACCCGCAAACGTTGCGTGAATGCTGCATCGTTTGCTCGTCAGACCTGATCGCGCCAATCCGCACTTTCGAGTCAACTTCGCGAATTATCGCGCGTGAGAAAGGTTACGGTGTTTCTGTGTTATTTGCAGCAAGAGCCGTTCAGGACGCTTAGGGAAGAATATCCAGAACGGCTGAAAAAACTCACCGTGATATCCGGCGAGACGACCGTGCAGGGACTCTCTCTGTCTGACACCGACAAGGAACTCCTCACGAGCCAGGTCTCCGTCGTCTTTCACATGGCCGCTGACATCAGATTTGATCTATCATTGAAAACTGCTATCAAGGCAAACCTCGTAGGCACCGTAAATGTTGTGGCATTAGCGAAACAGGTAAATAGTCACTCTAAAGAAAAAAGAAAGTAAACGCAATCCTTTAGTCATTCATGGGCGTGAAAGCAAATTAAAGTTTTGAATCTCGTTCGGCCGAGTTGCTACGCATGTTATTAACCAACGGAAAATTTGTCTATATAGTATTGATATATTAGATTGGCACAAAATATGAATCATTTTCTGCAAGTTCTCGTTTGGGAGAACTTGAGAGTTTAGAAGTTTAGGTATTAAAATAAGCTGACCAAACGTCCCAATTTTTTCGGGACAGTTCCGATTTTTTACCCTTTGCCTAAAATTTTTTCCAAAAATTTATTTTGCCCAAAAAAAAAAAAAAAAAAATATATATATATATATATATATATATTTATTTACGTTACACCCTCTAAATTTCAAAAGGTCTCTAAATTTCAAGAGCTCGACGAACGCGACTCGTGATCAGATAGACAATGTCCGCGCGTTGTTGCACATATCATTACATATTTCAAGCGAACTATTTGCAAACGCGCCGTCCGCCAATGTGCATGGCCATATAGGATTATGCATGGCCATATAGGAACAACATTCATACGTGATTCTTTGTTAGATGTTTGAAAAAGATTTGAAGAAGACTTTCGAAAAGTCGATGTTATTTATTTCATTCGTAAACATCATTATAATTCTTCGAAATTAAACAATTTCGTTTCCCGTTTGATTTGACAAATCCGATGAACATGCACTTGTTAATACGCATATGGAAATCGTTGATCTCGATTGGCGAAGAATGATCGTCGTCAATTTGCTGCAATGTTACCTTGAGGGAAAGAGCACCAAATTCGTGACAATAACAACTGGGAGTCAAAATGTCAAGAGTGCAAGTGTTCACTTCATTCGATCATCGGAGGACCGATGATCGGAGAACGAGACGGAACATAATATAGCAGTCTCTGTGCCTTTCCAGATGCCCCTTCTCGAATCATTCATACATGTTTCGACATCTTACTGCCAATGTGGAGAATCGGTGTTGGAGGAACGCGCTTATCGAACACCTGTCGCCCCAGAGGGCATCATTCAGGTGGTCAATACAATGACGGATGAAGTGCTGGAGTTAATGACGCCGAAGTTGTTGGGTGTTCAACCAAACACGTACGCCTACAGCAAGGCGCTCTGTGAGGACGTTGTGTCGGGATGTGGACTACCCGCAGGCGTCGTACGGCCATCGATAGGTAAGGAGACTTCTCTTTGCGAAATGATGCTGTCGATTCTCGTAACGTCTTTGGTGAAACAATACGACTGCTCTGAAATGTTGCCAGTGGTGGCGTCTTTGAAGGAACCGGTGCCTGGCTGGGTAGACAATCTACACGGGCCGACCGGGCTGATGATCGGCGCGGGTAAAGGAGTCATACGGTCTATGCTCTGCAATGCGGATTACACGGTCAATCTTATTCCCTGCGACTTAGCCATCAATGCGACGATCGCATTGGCCTGGCAGGTCGGCTTGAAAAAGCCCGCCGAACCATTGTTTCTTAATGTCACGGTGAACGAGGAGAATCAGATTTCTTGGGGCCACGCCTTGGAAACCGGCAAGAAGCATACCCTCGCCAATCCGTTCTCGCGTAAGGATAATCCCTATAATCTTTTAATCATCAAAATTATATTGATGCTCATAATGAATGTTATATTGATGCGAAAATTAATGTAAAATTAGTGTAAAATTGCTAAAAACACCAGATTGGGACGAAAGATTTGTCAAATAAAATTACCTAATTTCAAAGGACTAATAATTTCTGTGAATAAAATAAACAGCATTGACTATTTTTTAGACTCCCAACGAGGATTTTCTATTCTCCCTTTGATGCCAAAATTTCCTACAAGAATTTAATAGAACAATGACAAATCTTTTGTGCCTAACATTACGCAAATCCGTGAGATATCTAATGTCACGTAATGTTCCTCTTTTTAGAACTGCTTTGGTATCCTGGTGGAGGATTTACCTCTTCGAAAATTTTGCATTGGTTCACCGTTTTGCTGTTGCATCTTATACCCGCCTATCTGTTGGACACTTTGCTCATCATCACTGGTAACAAACCATTTCTCGTACGAGTACAAAACAGAGTTAAGTCCGGTTTAAAGTTGCTTCAATATTACACTACAAAACAGTGGATATTCCGGTAAGTGATCAATTTATGAGTAGTTTGAAAAAGCGTACGCTTCTTTAAATTCTGCTGAGGCTATTGTATTCGTAGTAACGACAATCTGCGTGAGCTGCAACACCAACTATGTCCTGCGGATAAAGAAACGTTCTATATGGACACGAATATTATCCATTGGGACGAGTATTTCTTGACGTACATCTTAGGTACGAGACAGTACTGTCTGAAGGACGATCCTTCGACGCTACCACGCGCGAGACAGGTCCTCATGTACATGTACTTCGCTGACTGTTTGCTCAAAATACTATTTGGATGTTTCATCGTTTGGATGATGTATATCTGGATGGTCTCCGCTAAATCTACCATGGTGAAGATAATCGAATGAAAGAGTACAAAACGTAAAGTGAGAGTATCTTACGTTACCTCACCAATTATCAGGTCCAAAGGTAAAGAGGGAGAGAGTGGAGGAGGGGCGGTACGTATTATCGAGCCCGAAAACGTGTTTTTGCCGAACCTGAACCTTTCTGACTTTCTCGTACCCGCTCTCGGTGACCCTGTGCTAATTCCACGCTTATTTATACAGCGGGATAATGAGGGTCGCGCACTGACGCAATTTGCCAATGGAGAAATGTGCCAATGTTTCAATACTTTGTTACGCATTATATTGTACTATACTATAATCATACTATAGTATACGTTCTGTTTTTAATATCCTAGAGCTATACGCCGCACCAGTCTCGTGATATAATGATCAGTAAAGATCAGTAAAGTGCCTGGTATTCGATATTTCGTTCGACTTTCGCGTTTCCTTCGAACAGAGAATGTGTTACACCAATTTCTGTCCGCTCTTCTCTCGATCTGTCTGCGTATAAACACGATAGAAACCTTTAGAACTTTCGGGAATATTAACTTTCTTATGAAAAATCGCGATTAAGGTTACTCAGTCATGTGAGATTATGTAAGCCGATTAGGAATGTAATGGATGCAACGAAGACTTAACGAGTCTCACGGTTCAGCAAGGTTCAGCGAGGTACTTTCGCCGCGTCGAGACAAGTATTAAAGGAACACACGCGCTTCGTTAGAGCGAATAGCGATTTTCTTTTTTTTTTTAAGTAACTCCGATCTAAGTACGAAATTGCTCGATTTGAGTTGAGCAACTTATTTCAGTAATGCGCACTTTTGTAACTTTTAGCTGTAAAACTTTCGTTTCAGGTTTTATACTTTTGCTATATCTTTCGTATAATAAAATGGATTCTTGATGATGGCATTAAGAACGCTGTATGCTTCGTTAACTAAGCGTACATTTTACTAGTAAGAGTCTTAGAGAGACAGATTAGAATTCTAAAAAGTAAAATAGTTGATGGAACCCTCTTCCTATATTTTCTCGTAGTCTCTTTCCTTGGCGTTCCCTTCAGCTCTCTTTATCTTCCTCTTTTCCTATAAAGCGCTATAAAACCGAGAAACACGATTGCCTGTAATCGAATAAGAAATATAGAACTGTATTCTGAACTTTTTTTTATCGATAAAACTGTTAACAAGTAAATAAAAAATAAAAAAATAATAAAAATAATGCTTAAGTGTAGCACAAATATGGCTTTGAAAACGCATTTTTATTTAAAGTATGCCCTTTAAGGAAAGACTGATAATTTTTAACTTAAAGTTTCGATATAAGTATATTTATCATGTCATTTAAGGCAATCTATCGATGTGAAATCTATCGAAAAGAAAGTTTAAAGTACGCGCGCGGGCCAAAATCGTCCACGGATTTTCCTGCAATTGCATTTATGGACGACGAGTTTTTTTTACGGGATATAATATGGATATCACTGATAACGTGATAATAATTTGTCGAACATATGGCTTGCAATATCTTTCAACGAGTTTGCATACTCAGGTTGCAAAGAGTATGTTTCTCTTCACGCATGTTTGCTTGGAAGAAAAAGACACGCGAGTCGTAACATAAATAAATAGTATTTATATGACGTTGTCGCTCGTAAAAGAACTTTCGTCACGATTTTCATACACTGTTATTAAAGTGTTGTTTAGTGAGAGTGAGACAGAGGGGAGAAAGAGAGGGGGGCTAACGGGGAGACAGAAAAATGTAGTTATGAAAGGAACTGCGTCATATGTTTGGACATCATTAAAACAACCCCATTAATGTTGTTTGCACTAAATATAAAAAATTAACTATATTAATGGAAAGAAGAAAAAAGAGAGAAAAAGAGGGAGAAAGCTAAAAGGGGAATCACTAAAATTTTACTGACGCACAATCCGAAGAAGTCTTTATTTCGCGGCAAATGTTTCTCTTTGCTTTGCAGAAACGTAAAATTAAGAAAACAAATACTGTTTTACATTCTCGTCGTTCGGATGTGGATTTGTTCCATTGAGTCTTTTTAGACTAATAAGAGATACACGGAGAGCGAGACGGCGAGTGATTCAGAAAGATGTAATACATTTTAAGATGTCCTTGGAAACGTCAACCGATAAATCTCGACAGGATCATTCATATTTATTAGAAAGCATTGTCTGCTGTGGATAAGATAGCAGTGACAGATAATTATACCAGAAGCATGCGAAAGCGACGATTTACTTTCTGCTGGAGGAATCGCGCACGACAAAGCTGGAATATAAAAGAGAGATCTCGACATTTAGATAAGAGGTATTCGTAAATGCACGCATATGATGCGTATAAAATGGCATTATCGTATCCGGTGTTCGCGGAGGCTGAAATAGTTTTTGTCGCATTTGCATTTGCATACGCATATATCAATGCATTTTTTTCTTTTCAGGAAAGAATAAAAACCCGTATATGGTTGCCTAGCCAGACGAACTGACGCCATATCGCCGAAAAAGCAAATTTCGACGAAAACTTCAGCCAGACAAAACGTGCCGTTGGATTCTTTAGATAGCACAAATGTCTAAAGTACGTCTCAGAAACATCTAAGAGACGTCTCAAATGAGTAAGATATCTCTCAGGTGTACATCTCTGAAGTCCACATTAATAGTTCAGGTCCAGAGTAGGTGTAGTCTTTAGTCTCATGCTTTAAGGTTTATAATTTCTGCTAAAAAGCGTTTTTCGCGCTATGTTAAAATAGAAATCTGGCTGACTCAAAGTTTGGAGATTTCCAGTAGTAGAAAATATTTATAGCTGGAAATTATGCTAGTTTTGAGCTCAGCCCTTAGGAAAAATTACTTTAAAATGTTCAAATTAACTTAAAGTTGCTTAAAGTTAATTTGAACAACTTAAAGTAATTTTTCCTAAGGGAGAGCATGAGACCAAATGCTTACTGCACCTATTATAGACCCGTTCTTACTTGAAACTCGCCTTAAGTGAGATAAACGAATTTCAAATCAGAGTTAGACGAGAGTTCTTTGATTGAATCGCAACTACAAATACAAATGACACATTTATCATAATTGAACTTTTGGAAAATTTGGATCTAACTCTGAATAAAGTATATCACTCGAGACGAGTTTCCAGAGACAACTGTTAATGCGGGCCTAACGAAGACGCGCTTCAGGCATTTACGCCAGGTCCGCAAGAAATCGTGAAATCGCGTCAGCTGTCCGCGGCGACTCGAGAATCCTCGGTGGTCGGCAAGTGCGGTTTTACCTGCGAGTAACGCGGCCAAGCGCGATTTCGTCCGACGAGGCGTACGATGCGAAATCCGCTGCGATACAAACGGGAATCCGTTTAGCGCGCAACAGTAAGTAATACGAGTCGCGGGCATGTGGCGCGCGCGCACGATTACGCAAGATTAGACCCGCAGCTAAAACGCGATTCGCTATGAGAATCAACCAATGGACGCAGAAGCATCAGGTTGTATTAGCGGACTTTCTCGGTCTACTACAACCGGATCGCCTTCCGAGAGAGGACGACCGTCCAGCGCACGGCCCGAGCGGTTTCACGCGCGAACCTACGCCGCATTCGTGCCACGCTCCTGTCCGGCGACCGTTTCATTTTACACCGCGGTAAGTGTTTGCACTATAGAGCGACAGGCATATACTGCGGACTCCTTGCGCCATGCGCTCCGTTTGGCCGCATTTTGTCTAGTGTTTGCTGATCCGATCGCGAGTTACGAGCGACGCGAATGTCAAATTCGCGCGAAACTGGCGTGCGCATATGTGCAGAACTATCGACGTGTGTAGAACGGCGCGAAATGTGATGACACGCGTAAATGTGCGACTGTCATATTTGCGAGTGATGAGCACGTTCGATGGGGAATCTGCGATGGTTCGCGCTCAGGATGAGTTCGCGCTTTGACGTACGCTGCGCGCGGCTAGTTGAATATTAATAATAACGATGTCGTGCAATGAATCGTGGGTATCTTTTTCTTATGAAAAATTCGTACCTTTTGTATCTTTTGTTAGTCGTACCTTTTGTTATCTTTTCCAACTGAGGGGACACTGCTAAAAGATATCTTAGAAACGTCTGAAAACGCCTAAAAGACCTTTTAGATGTCTTCAAGATCTCTTCAAGACGTTATTAGAAGTACGGGCGGGCGCGCGAACGAGGTATATTATAATTAGTATTATAATTGTTGTCTTTTAGAAGTCTAGTATATCAGATATCTTAAAAATCTTTTACAAGTTTCTGCTATTTGTGATAGATATCTAAGTATAATCTAAGTATAGTACATCACATGTTGCAATGTCTTCTAATAATTAACCAGATATGTCATAAAAACTCGTGAAGGATAAGAAGCAAAAATATGAGATATGCAAACAACAACCGATACATGGAACGTTCAATTCCAGGAAACACATAAAGTATATAACTAAGTATATAACAAAAATAACACGTAATATATATAATTGCTGTTATACGTTATTAATAATACGTTATTAATATTGAAGTTACTTTACTTTTATAACAATAGCATAACTTAAATATAATAAAACTTAAATATAATAAATATAATGTTCACCCCAGATAGCACAGAGAATTCAAAAAGAATTAACAAAGAATTCAGTCGTATATCACCAATTCTAAATTCATTTTTAGATGCAAAAAGAATTCTTTAGAGTTCAGTTCGGTGAAAGAATTCTTTTTATATCTAAAAATAAACTCAGAGTTGGTGACATACAACTAAATTCCTTTTGAATTCGCTGCGCTATCTGCACGGAAAAAAAAGTTTGATTAATTACACACGTAAAAAAAGATTTGGTTGAATTAATCAAATATCTGGTCGAATATGAACGATCCAGAAATTCCGATTGAAGTAACCCGAATTCTGTTAACAAGATTTTTAGTTGACTTAAGCAGAATTCGGGTTACTTCAATCGGAATTTCTGGATCGTTCATATTCGACCAGATATTTGATTAATTCAACCAAATCTTTTTTCCTGTGTGGCACGTTACGTTTATGTTATATATATTGTTATATTTTTACGTTTATGTTATACAGTTATGTTACAGTGTCATATTTTTCAACGCGGATGTCAGAAATATAACGCATATATGAATGGTGATTAAGCAGAACTTGTACTATGATTCTTATAATAATACAGCACACTTTTTGTAATTCATATGAGTAGGAAATTACCATTAACGCGTATATAACTTAGTGCACTCGTGTTATATTTCGTTATATTACAATATGTCAATAGGACAGTTATATATTCATATTTGCTGGGATTTTTTCGGATGTCCCGACATTTACAAATATCACAAAGAATTTCGGCTTAATATTAATGCCGCGACATCTAATGCGATAATTTTTTAGTGATCTGTTGCTTTCCTCGCAACCAACTCGTGAAATGTATCTAACAGCTAAGAATTAATAATCTTTAGTCTGACTACTTATATAATTGACTGAACTTGGCATGTGTTCAGTAAACATACGATTATACGATTGTTACATTACCATAATGTTACATTATCATAATGCAGCAAAATGTCACATGCAATATAATATAACATTACGTTATATTACGTTATATATAACATATATATTAGTTATAATTTCTTATTCAAAATATTATATAACATGTTATATATATATATATATATATATATATATATATATATATATATATTGCTGACATGTTATGTAGTTAAATATAAATTATCTATTTCCCAGTAATTACAAGTATTTAACTATATACAGTACTTATATAAACTGTCACTAAAATATGAGTTAATTCGTAGAAATTAATTAACTTTTGTATTTTGTAATATTAATTTGTTGTTTATTTTTTTAATTTGTAATGTCTACAAAGGTGATATAATTATTTTATATCAAAAGTAATACTTTTAATGAAGATAATAATATAAAAATACCTTGCCATTCTAAATTGATTAGCTCCCAAATAATACAAGATATAATCCCAGAATTATATTCTAGAGTCATTCTTGCCTAGAAAGTGTTCTAAGATGTCTTGAGCACATCCAAGATGCCTCTTAGGACATTTTATACTGTCTAAACGTATTATCATTTATTTATTCCCATTTCTATAAACATTTTAAGGGATTATTATTATGACAATATTATTACCACATTAATAAAAACGTGTCACTTCACTATAAGAGTGGACTCCACGACATAAATTTTGCGGTCTTGTGGTCATTGTTTTAAATATATGCTAATGTATCATGTACATATGTATGAAAAACGCAACAGAAAACTACATAACGAGTGTGATCCAACATCAGAATAAAAAAATATTATATAATATAGATATAATATAAACAATATATCTGCTATATAACGTGTTATATTTAAGTTATGTTGCTATTATACCGTTATAACCAATAAATAACAATGCAATATAACAATTTTAGAACAAAGTTATATTGCAGCTATAAAAAAAATTATGTAATTTTAACATTAATAACGTATAACAGTCGTTATATTACATGTCACTTCTCTATTATATAATAGTTATATTCTATCTTTTCTGGAATATTTGTAAAATGGATATTGCTTGGCGGAATTTTATCACGATGATGCTAATGTTTCTGCAAAAGTATTGCCTACTTATATAAGTGATGTGTAATTAGACATTATGTAAGATAAAAAATTCCATTTTTTCTACCTACCTTTTATGTTTTATTGATCAACATTAATTTTTTTCTATTTATTTCCTATTGTACGCTATAGATACAAATATGCGTTCGATAAGTCCATCAAAAAGGAAAACAACTGTCCAAATAGAAAAATAATGTCATGTTGCGCTCAGCACGCGCTCATATATTGACGTGGATGATTGCAAAAATGCATACAAATGCGTGCGCATATGCTGCTCATATGTCGTTCATGTAATGATGATCAGAAAAATATCTCATCTAATAATATTATGATAACAAAACTTGATGAACTAGACATATTCGTAATTTGTGTACATCTTGTGCTCATCTCATGTTAACCACATAATGATCTTTAAAAAGGTATTAAGGTGAAATCACAGTATGACATCACATTATGATGAAACGTGATCATCACGCATTTCTATCTAGGTGATTATACTATCTACACAAACAATCAATGCTAATTATGATAATGAGTACTTACATTCAAATTTCTTGAATTACATTCAAATTTCTTTTGCGTATCTTAGCGGCAATAATAAATAAGATTTCATTTTTCTGGGGTTTTTCTTTCGTTTTTTTATAAAATAAATTTCTTTGACGGTTAACTTGTGATCCCATATAAATCTCCGAAATACATTCCAGAGACGTCCCAGAGATGTGTGATATCTCTGGGACGTCTCTAGAATGTATTTTGGACCTTTGTGCTGTATATTGATGATTCAAAGTATCCTGTTCTCAATACCGATATAGAAATATCTGGATAATGTAATATTAGTTAAGACAAGGAGGTGTACTAATTTTTTATAAAGGGAGAATTACAATAATTATTTAATTTTTTAATCGCGGAGAGCGCTTGAAAGTTTACGTAGCTCTAGACGCATAATGTTGAATTAAAACTAGACTATTGTTATGGATATACTATTGTTAAACACCGAGAATGGAATATTTTGGATGAGTCAATCGGTAGAAAAAATTAACATCTTAAAAAGTAATTCTTGAAAATTTGAAAATAATAGACCGGTACAAATGAGATCTAGTTGATTAGTAACGCCAAAGTACGTGAGAGAATATAAATGCTTATCACAAAACTTGATAACTCTGTACAGAGAATATAAGTCGAAGAAATTCGTCAAACGCGTATGTACACCTATCCGCAACATTTAAAAAGAGATAGAGTAACTTGATAGGGTGCAAATAACAATTTAATATCAATTTTTATACCTTATAATCGTAACTTGATAGGGTGCAAACAACAATTTAATATCAATTCTTATACCTTATAATAGTTTTAACCTACCTTATGACCCCGTTTAACTTACCTTATGATTTCCGTTTACGTAGCTCTAGACGCATAATGTTGAATTAAAACTAGATTGTTATGGATATACTATTGTTTTCGACGCTTTTGTGCAAGCATATTGTATGCGTAATTACGCGTTGCGATCGTGAATCGCCGATTGCAATACAACAATGATAATTTTCTTCGCCCAACAATGATCTCGATAGTGAATTTCTGCGTCCGTAGTATATTTCCTGTCACCAACGATCACATCATGTCGGCAATCACTTACATTTGCATTTAATTGCGTGTTACAGGTAGAGTCTTGAGAAATAATACCTCGGCCACGATGGAACAGACGAGCAAAACCAACGAGGTGACGGATAGAATAATGGAGACTTTCGCCGGACGCAAGATTATGCTAACGGGGGGCACAGGATTTTTAGGGAAAGTCCTGGTCGAGAAACTGCTGCGGTGTTTGCCCGATATTGCGCATATTTACATCCTTATGAGACCGAAGAAGGGCAAGGACGTTAAACAGCGATTGGATGAAATATTCAACTCTCCGGTAAGACTTCATGGTAATGTTTATCGAAAAAATACCGAGAATGTAAGCATGCGTTTACGTACACGTATTAATAGTTCCGCTTTTTTAAGCTGAACTAGGTTGCACTTTTTGTCTTTAAGTATAAATATGTATGTGGCCGAGCATTGAAAGAAAAAGGAACAAAGTTCTTGTGTTACTAACTAAACAACTAAAAAAGACTTGGTCTACTGAGATACGCGATTGGTTAATGTTTCTTTTATAACGGAACGGTAAAGTCTCTATCAGGTTACCTAGACAGCACAAATGTCCAAAATCGAGTCATAAAACGTCTTTAGGACGTCTTTAAAATATCTTTAAGACAATACCTTATAAACTTGTCTTAAAGATGTCTTAAAGATGTTTTAAAGACGTTTTATGACCCGATTTTGGATACTGTCTGGGTAGTAACAATGCTTAAAATTATAAGTATAAAACGATAAGATTACTTTATATTCAGTCTGAATTTTCCGGGTAAATCACCAGGGAAGAAATGATTTTACAATGTAATTGCATAAAATTACACACACACACACACATATATATATATATATATATATATATATATATATATATTTTTATGCAATTACATTGCATAAAATTCGTGGAATCACGTATATATATGTATGTGTATATATATATATATATATATATATATATATATATATATATATATAT